ACCATACAATCAGTTTAATGAAATTAAAGAAACAGACAAAAATGGTTCTATAACTGTATATTCAGCAATATGGAAAAATGGCCCATTACAATATAATGAAAATGAATATATAAGAGTTTCAAATAAAGAAGTTGCTTTAAAATGTTTGCATAACTTACAATATCCTGTTGATTCTCTAATAAATGAGGTATAAATTTCTATAAATATTATTACATTTATTATATTTTTTTAATATAATGTTAATTTTCTGCTTATGATTTTAGGCTAAAAAATATTCAACAAAATTTGATATGTTTCTTGTGTTATATGGAATATCTCAAAATCCAGTTACAAGTGATTATATTTTAGTTCAAAATTATCTTATTCTGAGTGGAAATGAAAAAATTGATGATTTTATTCAAGAAAGACAATTAAATATTAATTCCTATAATAATGTAGTATTTGAATGGATACCATACAATCAGTTTAATGAAATTAAAGAAACAGGTAAAAATAATTCTATAACTGTATATTCAGCAATATGGAAAAATGGTCCATTACATTATAATTACCATAATAAATATTATACAAGAGATTCAAATAAAGAAGTTGCATTAAAATTTTTGCATAATTCACAAAATTCCATAGAATCTGTAATAAATAAGGTATAATATTTTTACAAACTGTTTAATTAATAACATGTGCTTTTTAACATATCATTATTTTGTTTATATTTAGGCTAAAAAATATGATGAGTTTCTTATATTGTATGGAATATCTCAAAATCCAAATACCAATGACTATATATTGGCTTTATTTTCTGAAGAATATTGTGTCATATGTGATGAAATATGTACAGATATCCAGTATAAATGGTGTAAACCATGTAAATTTATGGGCTGGAAAAGTGGAAATGATAAAATTGATAATTTATTAATTCAATTAAAAATTAATGAACCAAGTGATTTAAGGTTCGAATGGATACCATACAATCAGTTTAATAAAATTATGAATACAGGCAAAGGTCATTTTGTTACAGTATGTTCAGCAATATGGAAATATGAAGTTACTTTATTATGTTATAATGACTCACAAAAACTTCTAGATAAGGTATGAAATAATTTTTAATTTAATATAATTTTCTTTAATTTAATAATATATTTTTAATTTAACAGGTTAAAGAATTTGATAGTAGCTTCAAAATATATGGATTATCTCAAAATTCAGATAAAAAAGATTACATTTTAGTTCTTCAAAAAGAATATTGTTTGGAATATGGTAAAAAATACTGTAAAAATTGTGGAGTAAAATTTACTCAAATAAAATATTTGTGGTGTAAACTATGTCAAATAAATAATTTTATAAAATGGACAAATAGAAATGAAAAATTTATTAATTTAATTCAAGAAATGCAATTAAGGATAGATTCTTGTTTTAATATAGTATTTGAATGGATACCATATGATCAATTTAATTACATTAAGGAAATAGGTAAAGGTGGATTTGCTATAGTATATTCAGCAATATGGAAAGATGGTCCATTAAAATATGATACTGGTAAGAAAACGTATACAAGAGTTTCAAACAAAAAAATTGCTTTAAAATGTCTGAATAATTCAACAAATTTAATTGATAAATTCTTAAATGAGGTATGAGAATTTTCATGAATTTATAGTGTGATTAACCAAAAACCTTTTCAAAACTAATAATATATATTTTTAAATAGGTTAAAGAATATTCAATTAATAAAAAGAGTGATATTCTTAATGTATATGGAATATCCCAAAATCCAGATACAGACAATTTTATCATAGTTCTTGAATATGCAGAAGGTGGAAGTTTTAATAATTGGATAAATAATAATTATAAATATTTTGATTGGAAAAATAAAATACAAATACTACTATATATCATTAAAGGTCTTAATGAGATTCATCAAAACAAGAAGGTTCATCATGATTTACATCCAGGAAATATATTATTTTTGACAAAAAGTTTAAATACTTTTAATAGAAAATCATTATTTATATCTGATATGGGATTATGTGAAGACGTAAATAATACAAGTGAGGTAGAATCTTATGGAGTTATTTCTTATATGGCTCCTGAGGTGTTAAGAAATGAAGCTTATACCAAAGCAGCAGATGCATATAGCTTTGGTATGATTATGTATTTCACGGCAACTGGAAAACACCCTTTTGTCAATCGCGCACATGATTATCATCTAATATTAGAAATATGTGAAGGAATTAGACCTGAAATAAATGAGCTGGAAGTGCCAAAATGTTATGTTGACTTAATGAAAAGATGTTGGGATTCAAATCCAGATAATAGACCAAATACTACTGAAATACATGAATTAATTGAGTCATTTTTTAATTTCTATAATTTATATAAAAAAGGTGATTCAAATGCAATAGAAATTAGAAAGCAATTTATAGAAGCAGAAATTTACAGAAAATCATACCTTTCAGATTCTTTTAAAAAAATCAAACAACATCCACAAGCAATTTATACGTCTCAATTAGTACCCAATTTTTTTACAAAAGATTTTCTGAAATCTGAATATTTAAGTTGCGCAATCCTTGATTGATAATGTATTCAGATTAACTTTCAAATATCTTCAATATATCAATTAGATTCTCCAAACTCTTTAATATTTTACTATGGAAAACTTAAAATGCAGACAGATATCTGATTGTAATATTTTGTCCTTATTACAATACTTTTACATCTAATATAGAATTTGTTTAGTATCATGTATAGATGTTTGTTCATAATGTTTCTGCATCAAAACATCAGCCTTCTTTTTCTATTATTAACACTAGTAATCTGAATTATAATTATCAATATTATTGATAATAATTTTAGAATAGAGTAATTATATTTTTTTGACATTATGTAGTTAGTTTTTGTTCTACACTGATTATAGATAGAGTATATGTAAGTTTTTACTTCATAAATAAAATCAGTTTGTAATTGAGCACATTTTTAACAAGCCTAAATAATGATTCTTAGATGATTAATACCTCAATTATTAGTCAACATCATATAATCTGACATTTACAATTTCCAGGAATCATTTACTAGTTACTTGATGGAAATTTAAAACACATATCAGCGTTTTTTACAGAAAATCCAAAGTATTAGATGTTTGGTGACTATGATTCTAACCTTTAAAAGTTTATTTGCTTAATCTGAAATTTAATCCCTTAAATTATAATTTGCATATTTAGTTTCATAATTCTTAACATAGATTAATAGATTATGCCAATCATACCATTCACATTATTGGCTGTTAGTGCAATACAAGTATAATAATAAGTACTGTACATCTTCCTCAAAAAATCTATAATAATATAATAGTGACTAATAACATGCGTTACTAAATTTTTTTTTTAAAAAAAATAATTATAAATAGTCTTTTTATTATAGATTGAACAGAAATAATATCAGATATACTAATACAAAATTTTAAGAGCCTGGACTTTAGAATAATCATGCAAAATTTTTAAGCGAGACCTTTTGTAATTTTACCAACCGAAAAAAATTTGGTGCTGGCCAGAACTACTATTATCGGCCAGCTGATTCAAGTAAATTTTTCTAAACCTTGAAGATTGATAATTTAAGAAGTTTATTGGTAATTTCATTTGCTTTTTTAGTAAGTATAATTGAATTAATTCTTTATCGGGTCCTTTAGAATTACTCATTGCGTACATTAGATAATTATTTAATGGTAGAAATTAAATTAATTCGTTAAAAATAGCTTAAATTCTATTTCAAATGCTTAGGTATTTCACTTATTATATTATTTTATAAATCCTCCTTTTACTTTTCTAGTTTAAATTATGCATAATATTTTTAAGAAGAAATAAAAAATTCATATTTTTATACAATCTTATAATGTTATGAGGTCATTTGTTGTGTATAACATAAAATACTAAAGAAGCTAAATATCAAAATAATTAAAAAAAGAAATTTAATTCATTTAAATGTTATCATATGTAGTTTAGAATTATATGGCATATAAATACTTATTAATCATGCATCAAGAAGAAATTGGAGCTTGAATTAGAATGATAGAATACAAAAATTTAATACGATTGACACTTATAAAAGTATTTTTTCATTATAATTTCTTGATTTGTCTTGTCCGTACGCTATTTAACTCAGTATATATGGTACTAGGTTGCATTTCTCTTAAATGAAAAACAGAACTAATAACAAATGCAAATATGATACATCATAGGAAAATTGGCGCCATATAAAGTTTTTTCAAAAAAACCTTTTTTAAATTTCAACATCAACATAGTTAACCATAAATAAACGTATTTTAATTTATATTTTACTTGAACTTATTATTGAATCTATTATTATGCAACAAATAATAATATTATGCTACCAATATTTTCTTTAACTAAGGTAGATGTACAAATAAACTATTATTGCATGGAATAATATGATACATCACATTATTTTTTTAAATAAAAATTACCATGCCAAAAATAAGTAATTTATTTTAATTATTCTTATATATGAAACAATCGAATTATGATCTTATAACAATTTTACTTCATTTCAAAAAAAAAAAAAAAGTGAAGATCAAAAGCCAAAGGATTTACCTCGATAATTTTATTAATTGATTCATAGTAGTTAATTGAAACCAACTGTTAAATTTTTGTAACAATTAGAGCAATAGTCTTAGTCATTGCTAAAGCTATAGTAACGTTTAATAATAGTTTGTTAGAACTTATAAATTAACCTTTGTAAATATTGTGCAATGCATTCCGATCCAAAATTGTTTTCATTATAAAAAAATAACAAAATATAGTAATTTTATCTTTATGTAGTTTTTTATTACTAAATTCATTATTAAAAAAAGTAAAGGAGTCTACCAGGACCCAGAAATATATATAAAAGGGTCAGGTTTGAGTTTGCGTATTTTGAACTAAAAAAAACATGAAAATCTTTCCTTTTTTAGATAATTTTTGATAATGCCAGTCAGAATTTTATTTCCTATTATAGTAACCGACTGACATTATCATAATTCCGGCCCTGAAAAAATGCGTACAGCTATAGTAAAAAAATTTTTTCATTACCTGACCCCATATATATATTTCTGGGTCCTAATCTACTGTATTTAAATAGATCTTAGTGATATAACAAGTTAAAACAATTTCAACAATGTTGGTTTTATAATTATCAATAATTCGGCATCACTAATAATTTACTCTTGAATAAGAACTGGATTTCTATAAGATGAAACGGTTGAGATTACAGTACTAGGCACGGTCCTATAACTTGTCAATTTTCAGCTACAATACATTTAAGATTTTCTGAGATTAGAATGTGAAACAATAGTAAGTCATTAATAAATCTTATGAAATAAAATGTTAAAATCTTAGGGATAAAACAGTGTTATATTAATTATAAAAAAAACTATTTTCTATGTTTCGAAAATTTATTTGGGTACTTGCTATAGATTCCTTGAACTAATAATCAATGACTAAATAAATTTAAGAATGTTAAAAACTGAATATAAAGATTGCATAATAATTTTTAAAGTGTTCAAACATCATTTTTTCTTAATTAAAAATAATGCATTTTGAATATTTAATATAAAATTATAGTAGAACGTTACAAAAAATCGTATTGGTAATTCTCATTTAACAGATTTATTTATAGATTAAAAGTTAAGCTGTTTAAAAAAAGATTAAATCATGTATATTATAATTAGGGATGGCAACGGTCGGTTATGGTCGGTTATAGTCAGTTATAATCAGTTATAGAAATTTAAACAGTCGGTTATGGTCGGTTAAAAAATCGGTTAAACGGTCGGTTAAATGGTCGGTTATACCATTTTACTTAAATAATTAGTCAAATGGTCGGTTAAACGGTTAAAAATGGTCGGTCAAATGTTTAAATGGTTGGTCAAACGGTCAGTTAAATGTGGTTAAACGGTCGGTTAAACGGTTATGATTATAACCGTTGCCATCCCTAATTATAATACGAACTGTTATTACAAAAGTTATCAAAAGTCATTTAAATTTATTATCAAAATAAAAATCTTTTACATGGTTTTTTTCTTTGTGAAATCAAATTGTGACCTTTTACTGATAATATAAAAAAAATTAAATTTTTCGAATATTAATAAGATAATGTCACTCATCTATTTACAACTGAAAAGTTTTTAAATATAAAAATTCATTTCTTTTGTCAGACAATAAATTGGAAATGTTACGTGTGAAACATATTTGATATATATAATGTACATTAAAGGAAAAGATAAAAAGAATTGCAATAATTTTTTTTTCTTTTTACATTCGTTAATCATTGACCTTTAAATTTTCTCGTGTTACATCATTACATTGTTACCACCGATTTATGACGTTTGGTAGGTAGTAACAGAAAGAAAAATAAGGATCGGTTTATTAGTGGTAAGGTAATATAATGATACTATATAACAATCGATAAAGTAAAAGTGTATATATTAAAAATCGATACTGAATGATTATAAGCGATAATATATGATGCGATAAATTAAGGTAGATCAAGTGGTGGGTGTATATAATAATAGTTAATAATATAATGTATACGGATAATCAACGATGTATAATGAAAGAAATAAATAATAATAAAATATAATAATAATAAACGATATGAAACAATGTAATAAAATGTGATAAATCGTATATAAATAATTCGGAAGCAAATCAACAAGTTTATTCGTTAATAAAAAGAATACGATATTACTGCCTCAACCGGCGCTCTGTAATATCCTGATATCTATCTTATAACAATAAAACTAAACGAATTCAAACTGAACTATCTTAAAATTCCTTCCAACACCAACCCTTTTTATAACGTCAAAATATTAATACGATTCTGTCCTTTCGTCCAGAACCGTCATTTTACCATAATCGCCTCCCGGCCAATTGTGGCGATCTGGGCACATTTGTCTATACAGCCACTTATATTTAGCCACTTTACATTGCTAAGCTTCCGCTTTTTATCTAATCTATAAACAACCAAAATCAGCTACAGGTAATCTATCTAAAAATAACTAAAAATAACTAAAAGATAAAAATAAACAAATAAAAATAAAAATAAAAAAAATATACCGTGACAACATCATTTTTACGTCATAATGTAAATTATCAAAATTTTCCTTATAAAAATCTCGTTTCTAGTTTTCCAAGTTGAAATATTCTACCATTAAATATATTTTTTTATATAAAAATTTTATTTCAAAAAATATATTATTTATTTTTCTATTATTTCTCTTTTTTATAATAATTAATAACCATGGTGGCAATAATAGCAGCATTTACGGCTTCAGCACCTTTATCAACAGATTACCTTAAATCAGACTTTATGTTTCCTCATATCATCCAGAAATAACTTACACTTCATATAAGATTCCCACATGCGGTTGCTCCTAAAAATATTACATTAAGTTTCATTGGGAGGGAAAAAAATCCGTGCGTAAAATTTATTCATAACTGAATGAGGTCATGAATTGGTAACAATTTAATTTATCATTTGAATTATAACTATTGGATCATTTCATACATTCTAAATCATGAAACTTAATTGAGTTTATTTCCTGATCAAGGTGGACCATTTCAGATAATCAACTTCATGCTGGACACTTTAAGGTAGTTACATCTTAGCAAGCAATTTAGCTCAAATTTTTTTTTGATGCGTAGTAAATTTCAATGCATCATAGTTAATATTATAATTAGTAATGATGTTTTAACGACAACCACAAGTTCCAATACAATATTTGAAGCAAATACTTCAATAAGAATTTCTTCAAATATTTCTCCTACCGGTAAAACAAAGCATATGTCAATCAGAAATCAAAATGCAAATTAAAGTCGCTTTTGAACGTGACTCAGAATTGACTCAGAATTTAAATAATTGGAATATCTTTTTTAATAACGAACTTGAGAAACTAGTAATAGAGAATAAGCACACTAAAATATATCACATTTTTCATTTTTTCTATTATCTTTTCTTTTATAATATTTTTAACATTAATTTAATTCCTTTTCAAGTTTTTCACTTCCTTTTATTCTTGAAAATGAAAACCAAATTATGATTTAAATGATACAAGATTTTAATATAATATTCTAAATTTTTTATAAAATTTAATTTTAATTTAATCCTTTTACTAGTATTTAAGGGTACGATACTTAATTTTTTTATCCTATAATTTATATATATATTTTGCTTCTATATTTTATGTCATATATTCTTATCCATATATTTATTTTATCCATATTATTAGCTTAATTTTATTAATCAAATCAGCAAGGGAAAAAAATTAATTGGGAATTTTCGTACTCTTTTTTGTAACATTTCTTTTATCAGTTTTTCTCTTAGTCATTTCAAAAGTCAAACATCAGCACGATTTACTACAAAAATTCATAAAAAAAAATAATCTTGTGCATAATTTTTAATTTTTTTTCTTTTCTTTTTTTAATAAAAGAAACATTTTCTCGTGCGCCTTGTAATTTCGTTAAGAATGATCCTTTTTTCTCGATTTTTCTATATTTCGCCACAACGTATAATACTTTGTTCCAAAAATTGTGAAACAAAAAGTGTAAAACCGAAATCTGATCTAAACCATTTACTGATATGATTACGCAAAATTTAAGAAAATTGAACACCAAAATTTGCCCAAACATTTGGCTGACATACCGAAAATTAATTGAGGAATATTATGAAAAAAAAAAAAAAATTTTCAAACAACTATTAAGCAAATAATTAGCACAATACTTATATTATCTAGAATATAGTTAACTGAACATAAAAAATATCCTCAATTGTAAATTTCGACAAATGATTATCTGAGTGTTAAAAAGAAAAAATATTTTTTTTTAATATGTATATAAAAACTTGAGTAAATTTTCATAGAAATTATATAAGTGGATACAAAATTTAAAAATTTTTGAGTAAATTACTAAATTTTTTAATTTTGTAATATCTTTTCCCACATTCTATATATTGTTCAGGATCCTATTGTTGCTTAGATTAATAAATCATTTATGTACAATTAAATTTTATCATATGATTACTGTGTGATGATTGTACAAGTTTATAAATAGTAATCATTCAATTTTTGTATAATTTTTAATATCAAGGTTACAATGTATAGTACAAAAGAAAATACTGTTCCTTTTTTGGTTAAAATTTTTTTTTCTTTCAGTTTAGTGATGGTAGGTATGATTTTTTTTAGCATTTCGTTTCTAATTTCTTTTTTTTTCTTTAGGTTCAGTTTTGCAGTAAAAAGTATATCTATTGCTCTTTTTTTTGTTTTTGTTTTTCTCTAATTTTCTTTCTTTTTTAGGTCTTTAAGTTCTTCCAGTTTTGCGAAAGGGTACTTTCTCTCTTTTTTTTGTTTGTTTCTTATATTCATTTCCTATTAACTTTATTTCATCCTTTTCTTTATGGATTTTGTCCTTGAACTTTTCTTAATCTTTGTGAATTTCGTCCTCGACTTTCTTTATTTTCATTCCTTCTTCATCACCCATCTTTGTTTTTATTTATTTTGTTTCTTTTTCACCTCCCTTTCTTCATCATCTCTTTTTTCCTTGTTTCTTTTTTTCTTTCATTTTCTTCTTTATTCCCTTTATTTTTTTGTTCTCCTATTATTCCCTTGTTATTCCCATTAACCTTTTTTTGTTTCCTTTCTATTCCTTTATCTATTTTTCACTCTCATTCTACTCCTCCGTTATTTTTTTTCATTCCCTTTCTTCCTTCTCATTCCCTTTGTTTCTTTTTATTTCACATTATCTCCTTTCATTTCTCTTACATTTCTTTATTCTTTTATTATTATTCCCTTTATTTACCAGTGCATCTTTACAATTGATTCTTTTTTTAGGTTATCATTGCGTCATTTACTGCTAGTACTGAAAATGAATAAAATTTTTGATTTCGGGTTTGTTAAAAACATAAACTTTTAAAATAATAAGCTTAGCAGTGTATTTGCAATGAATAAATTTATAACATACAAATATATTTGGTGAAAAAAATTTTAAATCAATTTATTATATTTATTTATAAATTTCACTCTGGTTTATATGTGTAATATAAAAAAAAATTATTTTATTTTTTTCGAATTTTATCTACATTACAATTATGTATTTTTTTTTACAAATACTAAAAATTCGCTTCTTGCTTAAATGTCATGTGACTTCAACACCGAAAAAATTCTTATTTACTTAATGTGATACAATATAATCAAATATTATTCTTCTAACCTTAATCCTCAAGATAACCTCAATGAAATGAAATACAACACAAATTTTTTTAGTTATAACTGATGTACGGTAACATATTGATACAGTATATAATGTACGTAAAAGAAATACTTTCGTTTTTAAAATACTTTCTTTTTTTTTATATTTTTAAAAAGATGCAATAAAATAAAAATAAATAAATAAAAAAAAAGACAAAATTGCCAGTGTATTAATATATTTGCTTTAAAAGAGATGCAATAATTTTTTTTTCTTTTACGTTCGTAAAAATAGTAATCTTTTTAAAAAAACTTTTTTTTTTTTGTTACGTCATAATGCAATTACCAAAATTTTCCTTATAAAAAAATCACTTCATTTTTTTCAAGTTGACTCGTTAAATATTTTATATCAAAAAAAGGTCATTATACAGTATATGGTATAACGTAAGATTTATATCTAAATCTATATAACTAAAGAAATTTCTGTATAACGGGTAACGTTTAGATTGACTTGTATAAATAATTTGAATTGTGTAATGGGAAACTATTCAATTTGGTGTCATTTTCACTGTTAATACAAGTTCCGGTTAATGAAGTTTTATTTTTTGCTAATTAACGAATAAAGTTGTCTTATTAATCATATTTTATTTTCAGAAAGGCTTATCTGTTAAAGTAAAATGAGTTCATATAAACCAGGAAATTTATTATTTTTTTTTTTTTTGAAAAAATATACCATTTTTTGGTTCGTACAGACAATTTTTTTCTATTTTTTTTTCCTTGATTTTCAAACAAAAAATATCGATCTTAATTGATTTCTTAAACCAAAATATTTTAATTTTAATTTTGCTTTTTTAAGTTGATAATTTATTTTTTATTATTCTTTTTTTTTTTTTATTCACTTATTAATTATTAATGATTTATTTTGTAAATTTTGAAAGTTAACTTTTTCAAACTTTTATTTTCAAGATAATTAATAATTCTTAAAAAAGATGCACACAGTAAATTATATTTAATAAAACATCTAATTTGTTAATTACGAAAAAGTTCCCGAGCATAATAAAATTTTTTCTTTTTTTAGTTTAGCAAGATAAGATATAGGTAAGTTCAGGAACTTCTTACATATTTAGTATATTTATATAGTACGAAAGGTTCAAATTTTTGCAGTCTAAATAGTCTTTCTTTTTTTTTAAATAGTAACGCGTTTATTAATTATTTGAATTTATAAAATAAATTACATAATTAAAATTAAACACCTAGAGCTTGAAAAATTCAAACCCTATAACTAAGTATTTATCGAACTATAACTAAATCTATCGTAAAAATTATCATAAAAATTTCATACTGTATCTAAATATCGCTAAAATATATCTAAACTAAAGCGTTCGTTAATTTAATTGTTGTATTCCAAGATTTAGCTATATTAATACCTTCTGTGATTAATCCTTTCATCTTGTCTAATGTTACTAAGCTAATACGTTTATTTATATTTGTATTTTTTTCTTTTTTAACTAATTTTTCTTTTGTTTTTTGTTTTTTAATTTTTCCTGGTATTGTATCCGTGTCAGTATCTTCTTCTACCATATTATCATATTATCATTTACATCTCTTTTCCTTCTAAGGTCTATTTTTTTAATTTGTTCTCTTTCTTCTAACCTTTTAATTTCTTCGCATTGTGGAATCCATATTCGTTTCTTAATCTCATCATACGTGAACATCCAAAGCTTTTTATTAGATCTTTAACTTTTTTCTCTTTAGATAGATCATTGAATTTATTATTATAAATCCCTCTTAGTAATTCCCATATTCTGCTTTTCCTCAACAAAATATTTGAAGGACTTTCTATTATATTAATGAATTCACAGTTGTAGTTTCTTAAAATTTCTAATTCTTCGCTTTGATTAGAGTTAGCCAAAACTTTTTTGAAATTATATGGTGATTCTCGTATGATTTCGTCAATTGATATATCATTATCTTCACATATCCATATGTGTTCCCAATCTTCCTGGAAGATTTTCCCACATCTTATACATTTATCTGTATCTATTTTATTCGTGTTTCTTTTGAATAAAATGTTATATGTGGGTAATTCTTTAAGTAAATTTTTGATTCTGTATGAGCGTTCTATCATATCTCTATCACCACATTGTCTTTGCGAAAATTTAACTCTATTACTAATAAATTCAAGACTTGTGATCCAGTCAAATTCGTTTCTATAATTATACATAAATAGATCCTCTAATCTCTCGCTGTTTAAAATCTCATTTTTCCAAATTGCTAATGTAACTGCTTTCCTCCAAACTTGGAATCCTCCTGTTATTAATTTGTTATTCCAAATTAAATTATATTCATTCGTAATTAAACCTTCTTCTATCAATTCAAAATTAAATTTTATCTTATCTACTATCTTATTGTTTTTTAACATTTCCTGCATCTGATTTCTTTTTTCTTTTATGATTCTCTGTGTTTTCTCTTTTCCTTCAATTAGTTCGATGTTATTTGTTTCTAAAAAATTGTCTAAAAATAAGAGCTCTAAATAATAGTCGCTATCTATCTTTTTCCTGTTACTAAAATTGTTGATAAATTCAATTATTAATCTATTGACTTTCTCATTTATTCCCAAAATTAATTCGCTATTCTCACTAATTGTCATAATTCCTAGAATTATACATCTAAGAATAATTTTAAATTCATTTTTGTTATTACATTCATAATTCGCTAATAAAATCAATTCCTTGCTCTCATTTTCTTCGTAATTCAGTTCAAATATTTTCCATATTACGTTATATCGATAAACTCTTTTACCTTTATTGTTAATTTCCCATTTCTTTTTGTTTGTGTCGATTAGGAGACAAAATCTTCATTTTGTTATCGAAGTCAAATTATCATCTTCTTCGAAAATACTATTTTTGATTATATCCAAAAAATTTTTATCATTCGTTTTTATTATTTTGTCAATTAATTCTATTTTTTTGTTAAACGACTCATCTTTTTTATCTTCTTTTGTATATGTTGTGCCTCAGATCGATTCTTGCCTCAGCTGACAGTTGACGCACCTCAGATTAAAATCGTCACCTGACGCGCCTCATTTGAATCATATAAATTTAATCTACTATAAATAAACTTTTTTCTATTAATTAAATTGCCTTCATGTTATAAGTAAATATATTTGTCACAATAATGTACACATATTCTGAAATTTTTATACAATTTTAATTCCTATTAAATATACAATGCGAATANATTTGTCACAATAATGTACACATATTCTGAAATTTTTATACAATTTTAATTCCTATTAAATATACAATGCGAATATTATTTGGAAAATTTGCATTATAAACACATTTTTAAATGAAGATTTCAAAAGCAATCATGAATCCAATTGATCTAAAATTTTAGGATTGAATATTTGAAAATACAGCAAATAAGTTTTATTAATAATCAAATGTACATTAGATTAGAAAATTTAATGCTTAATTATAATCAATTTTTTATTGTAAAGTGAGGCGCGTCAGGTGGCGATTTTAATCTGAGGTGCGTCAGCTGTCAGCTGAGGCAAGAATCAATCTGAGGCACAATATATACGTTCGTATCCATTCGTTCTTTTTTATAATATTATTTAGAGTTTCATATGGTTTAATATAGTCTTCTTCTTTTCTTCTATCTAAATTTCTACTGATTTCATTTTCTATGTATATTAGACATTCGTTACTACCCTTTTTTTTACTAATGTTTCTATAACATCCTTGACATTTCTTCAATTGAGGCGAATTGTTTAAGTTATAGCTATCTCCGACTAGTTCTAAATGTATTCCTATTCTTTTGTATTTTTTGCTCTGTGATTTTTTTTTATTTATACTAAATATCGGATATTCGCCGTAGTCGTTCCAAGTTATAATACTATTTTTATCCGATTTTTCATCTTCATCGAAATAGTTTATATGAATATTTTCTTTTTGTGCTTGTCCTATAAGCTTGTTTCTTATTTTCCTTACTTATCCACTTTCATCTGCTATTAATTTCAATTCTAATTTTTTAAACCATTTCGGCGTTTTACCTTTCGTGTTCTTTCCTCTTTCTTTACATAAATGCTTCCATTTTAGTAAAGTGATACCGTCCGCCTCTAGGATGTCTTCTAAAAACATTATATTTTTTGTTTTTCTTGATTGAGTACTTGTTATAAATTCCTTACACTCCATTAATTCAATTAGGTCAGTCTTTCCTCCTTTGATTCTGTGACTTTCTCTAAAATCTTTTATTTCATGATTACATATTTTGATTTTTTCATTATTTAACACCTTTAAAGCTGATATGATCCAATTATTTTTCCTATAATTTGTTATTTCTAATTCTCCAGGACATCTCGAAGTCCATATATTTTTCTGTTCTTGGATCATTTTAATTTTAAATAATATTTGTAATTTGTAATTTCCATTCGCCTGATAAAGCAAATTCTTATATATCATTTCCATCTGTAGGTCGTAAATATGTTTTATACCTAAAATGTCTTTATCGTAGATTATAAAATTTGGAGTTGATCTTGCTAGGCCAGCTCTTTTTTTAATTATCATATTTATTTTTGTCATCAATTTCTCGCATTCCCATTTCTTTAGGACGATGGCTGCCAACTGATACTCTATTCTTGGTACAATAACTATATTCCAAACTGCTATTATTTGCTTTTCATTTAATCTTTTCCAATTAAATATATTGCAGGCGTTATTGATTATCGATGTTATCTTCTTTTTATATATTTCTCTTTTGTTGTCGTATCTGAAAAATATTCCAAGGTAACGATTACCTTCTTCGCTGTTTGTCTTTGTGATTGGTTCTCCCTCAATTGAAAGATCTTCTTTATTGTTGTTTATTTTTATAAGTTCGTATTTCGATACATTTGCTTTTATGTCATTTATATTGAAGAATTGATGACATATCTCAATCATTTTTCGCAGTCTAAATAGTATATTTCATATGTGAGGTAGAGTTTGGAATCGATTAAGGTTAATCAATTAATTAATCGACTAAGACGGTTAATCGAATAAGGTATCTCAAAAATCGGTTAATCGATTAAAATTATCAACCCATAATTCTGGTCAAATTATCTAATGCGGCCCAGAGCTGTGAATTTTTGGTCACGTGTTCTCCGAACTTGGAAGAATTTGTATTAATTTTTTAATGATAATAATAATAAATAAGACTTTCCTATAACTAAATGTATGATCAAAAACAATTTGGTGCAATCTGCGGTCAAAAAAAAAAAAATTTTTTTAATATTTTAATATTAATCGATTATTAATCGATTAGGGCCCTTGGTTAATCGATTATTAATCGGTTAAGGTTTTTTTGGTCGGTTCCAACCTCTAACGTGAGGAAATGCTTTTATTTGGTTTTTTAAACGTTATCTCATTCATTATATTGTTTAAAATAAATACAATTTTTTATGGGTATTGCTAAATATCACCAGTGTCAGTGATGAATTTATGATGTAATGTACAAACTCTAATTTTCAGTTAAATCATTCAAACTAAAGTCACTTTTGGACGGTCACGTCATAATATTATGACCACGAGAGAAACATTTGTATGAAGAAATTTCTTGGATAATATTTCCACCTCCGATATGAACTACTTTTCTGATTCCGAATTTAAATAATTAGAATATCCTTTTTTAATAACGAACGAGAGAAACTAACAGAGAAAATAGAGGAATACGAGAAAATATTGGCAGTGAAATATAATACATTTTTTCATTTTTTGCCTTCCCAATTTCCCTTTCTTTTATTATTGGAAAGAAAAAACTAAATTATGGTTTAAACCACATAAGATTCTAATATAATATTCTAAATATACATTAATTTAAACCTTTTAAGAATAATATTTTTTATGCTTTTTATTTCTTTTTTTAAAAAATATTTTTATAACATTTTACTTATAAAAATATTTTATTTCACGCACATATTTATCCTATATATTTCTTTCACTTCTATATTATTAATTTTTAAATCAAATCGGCAAGGAAAAAAAAATCAATTTAGAAACTCTTTTTTTGTAACATTTCTACCGAGAAAATCCTTATTATAATTTGATTAGTTTTCTTAAATAATCATTTCAAAGTTATTAAGCGTCAAAACCGACGAATTACTATAAAAAACTTACCATCAAAAAAAATCTCGTAAATAATTTTTTCCTTTTCTTTAAAAAAAATATATATTGGTTTTTATTAAAAATAAAATGATAAAATAAATAAAAAAAAGCAAAATGTAATATTTTTTTCGTTGAAACTTGCTTCTGTCCGCGTAATTTCGTTAAGAATGTATTTTTTTTCTCGATATTTACTATATTTCACCACGACAAATAATACATTGTTCCAAAAATTGTGAAATCAAGTTATGAAACTAAAATTCGGTCTAAACCCTTTACTGGTATGATTACAATAATAATGGTAAAAAGATAAAAAAACACCAATTTGGCCAAATTTTTAGTTGACAAAATTAAGGAATATTACAAAAAATTCTTGAAGAATTATGTTGTAATTTGTACGACTTGTACGTGCACCTCATATTATATTAATATATGTATATATAAAAAATTTTTTCTTCGAAGATAATATTAGAACAATACTTACATTTTCTCTATTATAATTGATTTTTACAAAATTAAAATTCGCTTTCTTTCGTCAGTCATTTATAGTTAGATTATTTTGTTCTTTGTTAAATTTACCAATTTCGTTATTTATACTGTATGTATTGCTTGTTATGACGTGAACACATAAACACATCGTGCCACTTATCAAACATGGCACCTGTGCAATAACTATATATTATTATATAATAAGCAATCCACATATTAGTACAACATGTACATAAATAGGGTCGTATATATTAATTATTATTAGCACCAATTCATCAAGTTATTAAGCATCATGTATTTGTACTTAACAGTTAATGTGATATAAGTATAATCAAATAAAATTCAATCCAATGGAATAAAATGCAACATATGATCTTTTTATTTGTTTACGGGATACGAATGATCATGTTTGTCGCACTGGTGTTACATGCATACGGCTAAATCACATTTTGCAGATTGGCGGATATGTCTATCTTTTAAATATTCCTAATTTGTTATAATCATTGGACAATGAGTTTCATTAAAAAGTATTTACAATAATAACGTAAATAGATTACGTGACACATTGTCTAATTTATCAAAAAAAAGATCTGTTCTAGAATTACTTTGTCGTGTTGATAATTATTTTGAGTTTTTACATTTGTTGTGTTTTAATTAACGTATTTTTATTTTTGAGAACAACAAACAATAAAACGACTTTTGACGAGAAACAATTGAATGACATAAAAAAAAATGAACCTAACATATATTCTCGATGTACATAACATATCAAACATACAGTATATTAATTATATATAATAAATTTTATGCGTTTTATTTTTTGCTTAATTAATTTTAATATTTCATGGACTGTATTATTACTGGTTCCTAAAGTTAATAATGATAATAAAAATTAAATAAAGATAAACTGATGCATTTGTTTATAAATATAATAAGCTACCCAATTCATAAGGGTAGTCCGCTCTTAAAAAAAAAATCACATACATCATGTTACTAACTTGTTTGCAGTTATTCTAAGATGTAGCGTTACGTTATTACAATTTTGTCATGTGACATATGCGAGGGCACTCCTATGATTAAAACAATGGTTTTCACATCCATATTGTCATTATTGTTACGCATAAACCTACGCCTATTCCATAAAAAAACAAATAATGTCGTTACATTATATTTTTATGCATTGTTATGTATAATATGTTTGAATTGCGCGTATGGCGGTTTGATATAAATTAAAATGATATTCAAAAAATATTTTTTTTGCATTTAAAATAATGTCTTCTCAAAATAAAGATATTGAATATATATTCTGTAAATTGTATTTAATATGCAGACTTATAAATTTGACCAGCGGATCTAAAGAAATCGATGATTTTATTGAAAAAAGACAGTTGGAAATTAAAGACCATAATGATATAGTATTAGATCGATATAGAATGGATACCATATAATAAGTTTAATGAAATTAAAGCAACAAACAAAAATGGTTCTATATATATAACGGCATATACAGCATTATGGAAAAATGGACCATTATATTGGAATATTCAGGAAAAAACATACATGAGAGATTCGAATATAAAGGTTGCTTTAAAATGTTTTCATAACTTACAAAGTCCCATTGAGTTTATAATAAATGAGGTATAAAAATTTCCAACGTTTAGGTGATAACAGTTTTTTTTTAAAAAATAAAGTATACTTACTTTTATTATCATGTTTTAGGTAAAAAAATATTCAACAGATAGCGAAAAGTTTCAAGTATTATATGGAATATCTCAAAATCCATGTACATATGATTATATTTTGATTTTTAACTGGACAAGTGGAAATGAAAAAATTGATGGTTTTATTCAAGAAATGCAATTGAAAGTTAATAATTATAGAGATGCACTATTTGAATGGATACCATACAATCAGTTTGATCAAATTAGAAAAACAGGAGAACATGGCCTTATGACAACAGTATACTCAGCAATATGGAGGAATGGTCCATCATACAAGAATATAAGAAATTCAAGTAAAGAAGTTGCTCTAAAATATTTGCATAATTCACAAATTCCCATAGAATTTGTAATAAATGAGGTATAAATTTTTACAAATATTTTAAATATTTATTTTTGATAATCTATTTAAATTTAACACTTTGGTTTATGTTCAGGCTAAAAAATATTTAACGAAAAATTCAATAAAAGATGATAAATCTTTCGTATTGTATGGAATATCTCAAAATACAGATACAAATGATTATATTTTAGTTTTTAACTGGACAAGTGGAAATGAAAAAATTGATGATTTTATTCAAGAAATGCAATTAAAAACTAATAAATATAGAGATGTTCTATTTGAATGGATACCATACGATCAGTTTGATCAAATTAAAAAAATAGACAAAACCGACCCTATCACAACAATATATTCAGCAGTATGGAGAAATGGTCCATCATATACTAATGGTTGGTGGGATAAATATTATATAAGAGATCAAAATAGAAAAGTTTCTCTAAAAATTTTGCATAATTTACAGAATAATGTAGAATTTGTGATATATAAGGTATAAATTTTTGTAAATATTTTAAATATTTTTAACATTTATTTTTGATATAGCATATTTAACTCTTATTTATATTTAGGCTAAAAAATATATAACAAAAAATTCAGTAAAAGATGGGTTTCCTGTATTGTATGGAATATCTCAAAGTTCAGATACAAATGATTACATTTTGGTTTTTAACTGGACAAGCGGAAATGGAAAAATTGATGACCTTATTCAAGAAAGGCAATTAAAAATTAATAAACACAAAGATGTAGTATTTGAGTGGATATCATACAATCAATTTAATGAAATTAAAGAAACAGGCAAAAATAATTCTATGACAGTATATACAGCAATATGGCAGGACGGTCCGTTATACTATCAGCATGATAAGTATACAAGAGATACAAATAAAGAAGTTTCATTAAAATTCTTGCATAACTCACAAAATTCCATAGAATTTGTAATAAGTTAGGTATAAATATTTTTATGATTGCTATTAATACCTCATTTTAGCATAATATATTTATCTTTTTTTTTATATCTAGGTTAAAAAATATTCAACAAAAAATGATGAGTTTCTTGTATTGTATGGGATATCTCAAGATCCAGATACAAACAGTTATATTTTAGTACAAAATAATCCTATAAATCTCAGAAATTGGATAAGTGGAAATGAAAAAATTGATAACTTCATTCAAGAAAGGCAACTAAAGGTTAAATACTACAAAGATGTGGTATTTGAGTGGATACCATACAATCAGTTTGATCAAATTAAAAAAATAGACAAAAATGACCTTTTGACAGTATATTCTGCTATATGGAGAGATGGTCCATTATACAAGAAGGATGAGTAGATTCAAATAATGAAGTTGCATTAAAATTATTGCATAATTCACAAGATTCCATAGAATTTGTAATAAATGAGGTATATAATTATTTATAAATGTTATTAATACTTTTTTTAGCATAATATATAAACTTTTTGTTATATTTAGGTTAAAAAATATTCAACAAAAAATGATAAGTTTCATGTATTGTATGGAATATCTCAAAATCCAGATACGAACAGTTATATTTTAGTACAAAATAATCCCATAAATCTCAGAAATTGGATAAGTGGAAATGAAAAAATTGATAATTTTATTCAAGAAAGGCAACTAAAAGTTAAAGACTATAAGGACGTAGTATTTGAGTGGATACCATACAATCAGTTTGATCAAATTAAAAAAATAGGAAAAAATGACCTTTTGACAGTATACTCAGCTATGTGGAGAGATGGTCCATTATGCAAGAAGGATTGGTGGAGTAAGTATTGTACAAGAGATTCAAATAAAGAAGTTGCATTAAAATTATTGCATAATTCACAAGATTCCATAGAATTAATAAATGAGGTATGTAAATTATACAAATGTTATTGATACTTCTTTTTAATATATATTTACCTTTTTTGTTTATATTTAGGTTAAAAAATATTCAACAAAAAATAATGAGTTTCTTGTATTGTATGGAGTGTCTCAAAATCCAGATACAAAGAATTTTATTTTAGTACAAAATAATCCTATAAATCTCAGAAATTGGATAAGTGGAAACGAAAAAATTGATAACTTCATTCAAGAAAGGCAACTAAAAGTTAAATACTATAAAGATGTAGTATCTGAATGGATACCATACAATCAGTTTGACCAAATTAAAAAAATAGGCAAAAATAGCCTTATGACAGTATATTCAGCAATATGGAAAGATGGCCCATTATACTACCAGTATAATAAGTATACAAGAGATTCAAATAGAGAAGTTACATTAAAAGTTTTACATAATTCACAAAATTCCATAGAATTTGTGATAAATGAGGTATAAAATTATATAAATGCTATTAATATTTCTTTTTAGTATGTATTTACATTTTTTATTATATTTAGGTTAAAAAATATTCAACAAAAAATGTAAAGTTTCAAGTATTGTATGGAATATCTCAAAATCCATATACATATGATTATATTTTGGTTTTTAACTGGACAAGTGGAAATGAAAAAATTGATAATTTCATTCAAGAAAGGCAATTAAAAATTAATGACCATAAAGATGTAGTATTTGAGTGGTTACCATACAATCAGTTTAATAAAATTGAAGAAATAGGTAAAAATAATTCTATAACAGTATATTCAGCAACATGGAAAGATAGTCCATTATACAAGAAGTATAATTGGAGTGAAAATTATGCAAGAGAAAGTTCAAATAAAGTTGTATTAAAATTTTTGAATAATTCACAAAATTCCATCGAATTTGTGATAAATGAGGTATAAAAGTTATATAATTTTTATTAATACTTTTTAATATAATATATTTACCTTCCTTTTTTATATTTAGGTTAAAAAATATCAAACGGAAAATCATGCATTTCTAACATTGTATGGAATATCTCAAAATCCAGACACAAATGATTATATTTTGGTTCAAAATAATTATTTGACCTTACAAATTGGATAAGTGGAAATGAGAAAATTGATAATTTTATTCAAGAAAGGCAATTCGCAATTAAAAATTATAATAATGTGGTATTTGAGTGGATACCATACAATCAGTTTGATCAAATTAAAGAGATATACAAAAATATCCTAATAACAGTATTTTCAGCAACATGGAGGGGTGGGCCATTATACAAGAAGTATAATTGGAGTAAATTTTATACAAGAGATTCAAATAAAGAGGTTGTATTAAAATTTTTGAATAATTCACAAAATTCCATAGAATTTGTGATAAATGAGGTATAAAAGTTATATAAATTTTATTAATACTTTTTAATATAATACTTTTTAATATAATATATTTACCTTTTTTGTTTATATTTAGGTTAAAAAATATTCAATAAAGAATAATGAATTTCTTGTATTGTATGAAATAACTCAAAATCCAGATACAAATGATTATATTTTGGTTTTAAATCAGACAAGTGGGAATGAAAAAATTGATAAATTTGTTCAAGAAAGGCAATTAACAATTAAATACCATAAATATGTAGCATTTGAATGGATACCATGCAATTATTTTGATCAAATTAAAGAAATATACAAAAATGGCCTAATAACAGTATATTCAGCAATATGGAGGGGTGGGCCATTATACAAGATGTATAAATGGAGTGAGAATTACATAAGGAATTCAAATAAAGAAGTTACATTAAAATTATTACATAATTCACAAAATTCCATAGAATTTGTAATAAATGAGGTATAAAATTTAATAAATGTTATTATACTTTTTAACATAACATATTTATCTTTTGTTTATATTTAGGTTAAAAAATATTCAACAAAATTTGATGAGTTTCTTGTATTGTATGGAATATCTCAAAACCCAGATACCAAGAACTATATTTTGATTTTTAATAATATACTTCTTGAGAATTATTGTGCTAAATGTAATAAAATATATACCAATATTCAGTATAACTGGTGTAAACTATGTAATTTTATGAGTTGGAAAAGCGGAAATAATAGAATTGATAATTTAATTCAATTATTAAAAATTAATGAACCAAGTGATACAAGATTTGAATGGATACCATATGATCAATTTAATAAAATTAGAACTATAGGCAAAGGTCATTTTGTTACAGCATATTCAGCAACATGGAAGTATAAAGTTACTTTATTATGTTTTAGTGACTTACAAAGATTTCTAGATAAGGTATAAAATTTTTTTTATTAAATTTAATACTCTTTTTAACTTAGTAAATGTATTTTTATAATTTTATAGGTTAAAGAATTTGAGAATGATAGCCTCAAATAGATGGGCTATCTCAAAATTCAGATAAAGATTACATTTTAGTTCTTCAAACAGAAGTTTCTAGGGAATATGGTAAAGTATTCTGCAAAAATTGTGGTGGAAAATTTACTCATATAGGATATATGTGGTGTAAGCCATGTCAAATAAATAAATCTACAAAATGGACAAATGGAAATGAAAAACTTGTTATTAGTTTAATTCAAGAAATGCAATTAAGAATTAATTCTTGTTTTAATATAGTATTTGAATGGATACCATATGATCAATTCAATTACATTAAGGAAATAGGTAAAGGTGGATTTTCTACAGTATACTCAGCAATATGGAAAGATGGTCCATTAAAATATAATGTTGAGGAGAAAATATATACAAGGGTTTCAAACAAAAAAATTGCTTTAAAATGTCTGAATAATTCACAAAACTTAACTGACAAGTTCTTAAATGAGGTATAAGGATTTTTATGAACTTATTGTAATTACCTAAATCTTTTTTAAAATTAATAATATATTTTTTACAAATAGGTTAAAGAATATTCAATTAATAAGAAAAGTGATATTCTCTATGTATATGGAATATCACAAAACCCAAATACAAAAGATTTAATTATAGTTCTTGAGTATGCAGAAGGTGGAAGTTATTATAATTGGATAAATAACAATTGTAAAAATTTTGATTGGAAAAATAAAATACAAACACTAATATATATCATTGAAGGCCTTAAAGGGATTCATCAAAATCAGAAGGTTCATCATGATTTACATCCTGGAAATATATTATTTTTAACAAAAAGTTTAAATACTTTTAATAGAAAATCATTATTTATATCAGATATGGGATTATGTGAAGATGTAAATAATGTAAGTGAGGTAAAATCTTATGGAATTATTCCTTATATGGCTCCTGAGGTGTTGAAATATGAAGCTTATACTCAAGCAGCAGACATATATAGCTTTGGTATGATTATGTATTTCACAGCAACTGGAAAACAACCTTTTGTAAATTGTGCGCATGATTATTATCTAATGTTAGATATATGCAAAGGAATTAGACCTGAAATAAATGAGTTGAAAGCACCAAAATGTTATATTGAGTTAATGAAAAGATGTTGGAATTCAAATCCAGATAATAGACCAAATGCTACTAAAATACATGAATTGATTGAATCATTCTATGATTCCTATAATTCATATAAAAATGATGAATCAAATGCAATTAAAATTAAAAAGCAATTTATAGAAGCAGAAATTTACAGAAAATCATGCCTCTCTACTTTTAAGAAAAACAAACAACATCCACAAGCTATTTATACATCTCAGTTAGTACCTAATTATTTTATGAAAGAGCTTCTAAAATCTGAATATTTGAGTTGTGCAATCTCTGATTGATTATGTTATTTAGCAATCATATGGTATTTATCTTTCAAATATTTTTATCATGTTGGAATATATATTAATTAGATTTTCTAAACTCTTTGATATCTTAATATAATGAAATTTTAAATACCAATAGCAAGCTTATTTTACAGAGTTAATAACATGCATAGATGCTCTTAATGTTCTATTTAAACATCAACCTTCTTTTTCTTCTACTACTGACTCTGGTAAATTAGATTATAATTTTGATATTATTTATAAACATTTTTCATGTAGTTAGTTACTGATTATAGAATATATGCGATTTTTTACTTGCATAAATAAAATCAGTTTGTTATTGAAATATTACATGCTTTTAAGATGTCTAAATAATAATTTTCAAATGATTAATAACTAGGAAATGGAAACTGTTGTACATCCAGAGCGAAAAATTTTGTACAAAAATTTTTATTTATTTATTTTTTTTTAAACACTATCTTTTGTACTTTTCAAGATTAGCTAAACAAGATAAAAAATGATTAAGTTTAAATTATGTTCCTACGAAAAAAATAAAGTTAAAACATTAGGAACATTTCTTTAAAGTTGAAAATTCAAAAAAAAAACATTTATTTAAAAAACCCTATCAAAAAGTATCAAACAAATAAAAAATCTGCTCTTCCCAATTTACCTTTAAAAGTCCAGTGTGTACAAAATCCAGCATCCCTAGAAAAAAAAAATAAAAATGAAACATTAGAAACGTTTCTTTAAAGTCAAACAAATAAAAAAAAACCCTCTTCTCTATTTTACCTTTAAAGTCTGGCGTGTACAAAAATCCAGTATCCCTAGAAAAAAAAATAATAAATGAAACATTAGAAACATTTCTTTAAAGTCAAACAAATAAAAAAACCCACCTCTTTCTAATTTACCTTTAAAGTCCGGTATGTACAAGAAATCCAGAAACCTTAGAAAAAAAAATAAGAAATAATCTGTTAGAAATATCTGATATTAGATATCTTGTTTATTATAAACACTTGTTTATTTTTTGATGTAGCATGAAATTTCAATGACATGCTTTGTGTGGACCAATCAGAAATGACGTATGCGGACAAATGGACTTTGCCACGTGATCCAATATGTCGTTAAAGTTCATAAACATATATAGTCCTTTGCTTCACTCTGGACAATTATTTATTAACGCTGTAAACAGCCAAATATTAAGCGCGAACAAGTAATATATCAAATGGACAAATGTGAATGTCAAGTACTAAGTACGAACAAACTAATCTTGAATCAGCATGAATGGATAAATGATTAGCCAAAAAGGATAAACATTTAGGAAAAGGAATGATCTATATGGTGTAATATTTATTGAATGATTAATAAGGAACCAATAAATTAAGTAGGGAGTTGATCAATTGTGGCTTAGCAACCAGTTTATTGAGTTCAACAATAAGAACAATTAGAAGGAATAATTATAAGCCACAAAAGATAAATTATAAGGAAAACATATAAAATGGAGGGATAGCGGATTAAAAGAACACGCATAATAAAAATACATAAAAGATAATATAAAAGATAATATAAAAGATAATATAAAAGATAATATAAAAAGATAATATAAAAGATAATATAAAAAGATAATATATTAAAAGATAATATAAAAGATAACATAAAAGATAATACAAAAAGATATAAGCCACAAAAGATGGAACGTAACATATTAAAAATAGAAACATATTGAAAGATAGTATATTAAAAAGATGGAACATAAAAGATGGAATATAACATATTAAAAATAGAAAGATAGTATATTAAAAAGATAGAACATAAAAGATGACATATAACATATTAAAAATAGAAAGATAACATATTAAAAGATAGCATATTAAAAGATAGTATATTAAAAGATAGCGTATTAAAAATAGTATATTAAAAAGATAGTATATTAGAAAGATAACATATAAAAAGAACATAAAAGATAGTATATATTAGAATAGAAAATATAAGAAAGTTTGTTTAAATAGAGAGCGGAATTCAAAGTAATTCCACATCAACCTTTATCATCATAGAATTTATTGAAATTTCATCCACAATGTAATTTAGAATAGTTGAATTTAATTATTTGTTAATAAAGTATAACATTAAGTAAAGGTAATAGGTTCGCCCTAAACTTTAGTTAACGTTCGCTTAATTAATTTTAATTGAATAAAATGATAATCATAAGATGAATTAAAATATACACTTTTGTAAAGAGGATTACCGAAATTTTGAAGTTGAAATAAATAAAATACTTCGTAGCGAGAGCTATCGAAGTTTGGAATTAAAGGTAAGTGGATAAAATTTGGGAAAATTTAGAGAAGTTAAATTTAATTTTATGTTGCTTGATGTTTTATATTACTAACGCTATTTATTTTGTGAACCAAGAATGTTGTTTTGTGTCGTTGTTTATTAACTTATTTGTTTATTTAATTGTTCGTTCATTCGTTTATTCGTTCATTTGACCATGAGAACGCCTATTTGATGTGGCAACTCTGTAAATTGATGACAGAGGGAATAGGGGATCTCAACGCCTTATTAAGGAGATTGGAGTTTCATAACCTTTTAGAAAGTAGTTATTTTATATTATGCGAGCAAAATAACTTATGAATTTGCTATTCATAAGTTTATATATAGAAATATATTTCACTACACAAGTAAATTAAATAATATTATTTGCAAATAATAATTTTTTATGCCCCTATAAAAATGAAATAAGTTAAATTTGTTCAATATTTGTATTTGATTCATTAAAATTGCACTTTTATGGTAAAATAAATTTATCATCAGAATATTTTTAATTAAATGATCTATGGAAATATTATAAGATTATTTGAAACTAAGTTACAATCAAAATTAGTTTAAGCATTTTTGATTGACAAGATCTCATATTGATTGTCCATGTTTAAACTTATTTACCCTATAAGTTTTGTTGTACGCTTATTATATTGTATAAAGTATATAATAGAAAAGTTTAAACCCGAATTCATGGAACTGTTGTTGTTACATTTATTTAGTGAATTTTCTCTCATAATGTTCTTTGAATCAGAGGAGCTCTTTCCATCAATCATTTAACATACTTATATATCAAATTAACAGTCTTTAGTTTATAAAAAAGTTGTTGCAGCATCAAGTGACACATCAAAAATATTTGATGTATTACCCTATATGGACCCAAAAAGTTTTGATGTCAAAAATTAAATTAAATATAAAAAATCTGATGTACACAGCATTGGAGTTTTATTGTGGCAAATTTCAAGTGGATATGGATTATTTAATGAAGCTGAACCAAAAATTTCAGGTAAGAAACAAAACAGAAGAGTCAAATGGAGGGTTGTCATTTTGTTATGTTTTTGCTGGTTTACAGTATGACTCACAGACAGCTATTTCACCAAAATGAAATTGACTGACGCCATTTTACTGACATCTATTTTGCTGACATGAAAAATCACTAACTTCATTTTACCAAAATGCCATTTTATCGACATGAAGATTACCTAACTTTCCATTTCACTGAAATTTATTTAAGTAAATTCATCAGTTTGCTAGTTTTGCTACGCCTTTACTGTGCCTTAATTTCAAGTGCCGAAAGTAAAATCATGAATGGACTATAAAATGTATTAATAATGCAAGATTATTGTAGTACCAATCAAACTCCAAGGGCTTAAACTTATAAATGAAGTTTTTTTAATTATTTCTTTGTAATTTTTTCTCTATTTTTCCAGAAATGCAAAAATAAAAATATACATATTATTGTTTATTAAAATAAAAAACATATCTTGCTTTTTTATTATTAATACTTTAAAATAAATCATAAAGTATGCAGATTGATCAAATCCATACGTGGTAAACCAAAGATAATTGTATGTGGATACTTATTAGTTAAAGACAAGAACTGTGATGAAAAATATTACTGGTATTGTGAATATAGACATATGTATCAGTGTAAAGGAAGAGCAACAACAATTTTAAGTGGTCAAGAACATGAGTTAATAAAGTTTAGTGAACATAATCATGCTCCTAAAACAAGCTGGGCAAATGTAGTACAAACACTTAATACAATAAAAGAGGCAGCATCCAGTACAAATGACTGACCAGTTCAAATAATTTAAAATGCTGTAAGTAATATATCTCAAAATTCCTATTCTTCCTTGCCAAATAGACAAGTATTATGTAAACAAATTAACCGTGTAAGAGATAAAAATATGCCTTCACAGCCAAGATCATTGCAATATATTAATAACCCTTTTAATTTGTGCGTAACTATCAATGGCAATCAATTTTTGGCAAAGGAGTTAGAAATAGGAAATGAAAAAATGATCATTTTTGTACACTATCCAACCTTCAGTATTTACATGAAGCAGATTACTGAATGATGGATAGTACGTTTAAAACAGTACCAACCCTATTCTTGTAGATGTATACTATTCGTGCCCTGGTTGGAGGTGAAGATAATGCACGTATTTTTTCTCTGGTATATACATTAATGATAAACAAAACAGAAGAAATTTATAGGCAGTTATTTCAAGAATTAGTTGACTTGGGAGAAGAGGCTAGACAAATTTTAAGTCCATCTATGATTATTACTGACTTTGAACAAGTAGCAATTAAAGCAGTTCATTCTGAATTTCCCGAATCTATTAATAAGGGCTGTTTTTTCATTTATGTCAAAATATATGGAAGAAAATTCAAGCCATAGGATTGGCTACTGAATATGGAAATAATGAAAATTTTAGCCTCAAGATGCGCTATATCACAGCCCTTGCATTCCTTTCACCTTCTGAAATCCCAACTGCATTTAATCAAATTAAGCCTCTTCTACCTTTAAATGCAGAAGAAGTTATCCAATATTTTGAGGAAAATTATATTCATGAAAGAGTTCAGAGACAGCATAGAAATGGTACTACACTTTGAGTTCCTCCATTATTTCCACCAAAGCTCTGGTCTGTGCATGAACTAGTTGAACTTTATTATCCCAGGACACAAAATTTAGTTGAAGGATGGCATCATCATTGGAATACATTAATTGGTAGAGCACATGTTGGGGTTTATACGATTGTAGAAGCAATGTGTAAAGAATAACATGAAACAGAATTGTGAATTGAAAATATTATGTGTGGAGAACCCAGGCCATCCAAACAAAAAAATTACATCAATTGTGAAAATTGGGTATTTAATGATCGATATAATCATTCCCTTGTTGATTTTTTAAGAGGAATCGCTCATAACATTTCTTTGTAATTATAATTAATAAAGAAATTTACTGCTTTTAAAAATTGTAAGCTTATTTACTTTCAAATTGCAATAAAAATTATTCAATAAATAATATTAATTTTATTAAAGTTCAAAAATTTTTATTAAAAATTATAAAGAATTTTTTATATATATATTATAAAATTAAATTATGTTGATCTATGTCAATCATGTCAGTAAAATGGATGTTGGCAAAATGGGATTTGTTGAATTAGTTTTAGAAAAATGGGATGTCAGTGAAATGGCAAGTCAGTAAAGGGGAGTCAGTAAATTTTATGTTGGTAAAACAGGTGTCAGTAAAATGGGTGAATATGGTTTTTGCTCTCTTTATTGTATCCAACACAGGTCGAAAAGTGAAAAATCAGGCACCAATCGGTCACCAATCAGGTAGCTGATTGGTGCCTGATTGGTGACCGATTGGTGCCTGATTGGCANAGAATGAATCACAAGAGATGTTCTTTAATTTCTGGAGGATATTGATCTTAGTCAAATACATATATCAACTCCGCTTTTGTTTTGTATATTATGAAAAATATATGTCCTATAAAATTTACCAAGGGTATTATCCAATTATTGTTATATATTGAGATTAATAGTGTGATTAAGTTAAGAGTGATAAGTCTTAAAATGTTGATCTTATTTTTCTTGACATATCCAATGAATCGTTGTGAACGGCTAGAGTTTGATACAGGTCGAAAAGTGAAAAATCAGGCACCAATCGGTCACCAATCAGGTAGCTGATTGGTGCCTGATTGGTGACGATGTCACCCACGTCTGCCACCCGTGGATAAACACATCTTTCACATTACAACTTTATTTCTCGTTATTTCGCTTGGTTTTGATTTTACTTTTCTCTTAACTTCTCGCTTTCTTTCTCATATATTCGTAGTATTTATTCTTTCAAATACTACCACTTATTCATAATATTCCCAAAATATTATTCTTTATGTAATATTTATTCTTTCAAATATCACCTCTTTATTTCTTATAAACTGCGAGAGTTCTCCTAACTTCTTATTATATTTTATACAATAAAATGAGAATAACTTCGTTTACTTTACTTTTCTGGACTTAATAATATAATATTAATTAATTCTCAAGCGTACAATGAGCATATTCAAGATAACTTTTAATAAATAATATTTATTTTATTAAATTTGAGTCAAAACTGACTGCGGAATTCCTAACGAATTCCACCTATATTTATACATTTTTAAGAAAATTATTTCTACTATTTCTAACTTTTCTACTAATAAAAATTTAAGAACAATAAGAAAATAAAGATGTATTATCATATGACTATCTCGTGACTAAACTAAACTAAACTATAAATATTATTTTATCGGTTAATTATTTATCCTTTGGCTAATTATTTATCCATCGGTTAATTATTTATCCTTATTCCATTCGGTCTTTTATTCATTTGCTCACGTGATTATCCTGATTTCTCGAGTTACAGCTATCCCTCCAAGAAAAATTTGAGTCCCATCAAATTCTAATTATAACTTCGAAACTTGACCTGTCAATATATTCCTTCAAAAATTCTCCATTTATTGGCGTTTTCTGTATTCTTCCCTCCATAGTTTTAATTTTATAAGATCCTTTAGAAATTATCTCATGTATATAATACGGTCCCTTCCATTTTTCTTCTAGTTTTCCAGACCATTGTTTTTCTTTTGCTGCATCATAATATAGTACTTTATCCCCTATTTGAAAATTCTTTTTCATCTTGTATTTCTTATCATGATATTTCTTCTGTTTTTCTTGAGATTTCTCTATATTTTCTTTAGCTTGGCTTCTAATGTTCGGTAGATCTTCCATTAAACTATTAACTCTTTGTGTTATCGTAACATTTTCATCTTCTAAATTTAATAGTGTCTTCATTTCTCTTCCATATATTAGATATCCTGGTTTTAACTTGGTCGAATCATTCTTTTTTGTTCTATATGCAAATAAAACTCCTGGTACTTTTAAATCCCAATCTTTAATGTTATTCAATTTTGCTAATGATTCACATAATGTCTTGTTGAACCTTTCTATTAATCTGTTCGTCTTCAGGTGATAAGGTGTCGAAAAATTGTGTTTTATCTGAAATTCCTTCATTAATAGTTCTACTAATTTATTATTGAAATGACTTCCCCTATCACTTAATATCTTCTTTGGACATCCATGTCTACATATTATATCTTCATAAATGAATCTTGCAATTTCTTTAGCATCTGCTGTTTCTAAAGCTCTAGCTTCTGGCCATTTCGTAAAATAATCCATTGCCGTAACTATGTATCTATTATTTCTTTCTGTTATTGGTAACGGTCCCACAACATCTATTCCAATCTGATAAAATGGTTCTTTAACTTTTATTACATTTAATTCGTGTTTTCCAATCGGTTTTCCTCTTCTTTGACAACTATTGCATGATTTAACATATATTTCTATATCTTGTTTCATTCCTTTCCATTAATATTTCTCTCTAATCCTTTCATATGTTGCATCTATTCCAAAATGTCCTGATAATTCATGGTCGTGTGCAATATACATTAATCCTTCTAACTCATATTTTCTTATTACTCTCAATTCTCTATTATCCTTTATTCTATATAACAAACCATCTTTTATTCTATAATGTTGTTCATTATCTATATTTTTAATTATCTCATTATATTTATCTTCTTCCATTAATTAGTATATCTTCTATTTCTTCTTCAAAAGGTAAAATAAACCTAATATTTTTATCTTCAAATAACACGCAGTGATAATTCGTATTCCTATGTATAATGTAAATATATATTCCTATTCCAATATTTTCAGTAGTCATTTTTATTTTTCCAATAGCTTTTCAACTCGTTTATATACTTTTTTCCAACTTCTGTCATCGTTTTTAATTTTAATTCTCTTATATTTCCCTTTATTCTCATAAATATTCTGATGCTCTTTAAACATTTTCACCATATCCATATATTCCTCTTCGTTCAATGTTTCATATGATGTTTTATGCCTTTCATTACTTTTCTTAGTTTCTCTTCCAATATAATTATTCCAACATTCTTTATTCTCTAAGAAAATTATTACCGCATTATCTATGATATCTTTATATTTAAATATCTCTTTCTCCATTTTATGATTCCCATATGGAGTAATATATCCTCTGTCAAAACTTTTGGTCTTTTGATAAAAGTATTCGCAATATGGTGACTTGTCTAATATTATAATATCTTCATCTGTAAATTCAACTATTCTCCTGTTAATTTCTTCCACAACTTGTTTTCTAAATAACCATTCATATTCTTTTGAAGGTTCTTTGAATCTGCTATCATCATTTCTTCTTCTCTTAAACTTATTAAATATTATCTTTAAATCATCTTTTTCTTCTAATCGTTTGATCATATTTTCTACTACAGTAGACTTTCCTGTACCATCTACAGGTCGAAATTAGTTAAATAGGGTATCAATAGGTTATCAATCGGCTATCAATAGGCTACCCTATTGGTAGCCTATTGAACTTGTGCCATAATCCGTCACCAATCAAGCAGGCTGATTGATAACCTATTGATAACCTATTAATACCTTATTGATAACCAATTTGATAAAAATACCAATAGGATACTAATAGGTTATCAATAAGTTATTAATTGGCTAACAATCAGCCTGCCCGATTGGTGATGGATTATGGCGCAAGTTCAATAGGCTACCAATAGGGTAGCCTATTAATAGCCGATTGATAACCTATTGATAACCTATTGATACCCTATTTAACTAATTTCGACCTGTGATCTGGTCCATCTACGATAACAACTTGTGGTTTATTCTTGCTTCCTAGTTTCCTTAATAATTCTTTCTCCGTTTTATCCTCTAAATTCAGAAGTATTGCTTCTTTGTTGGTAAAATATTTAACATCGTCCCATTTTCCTTTAAATCTTTTAGCTTCATACCATTTATTTTCAAATTTAATATATTTCAGCTTTTTCTCTTTATTATGCTCCATTTTCATTATTTCTTGATCTGAGCTACCAACGTCCCTTTTTATAACCTTTTCCTCAAATTTTAATCTTGATAATGCATCTGCATTTTTATTTTCTTTACCACTTCTATGTATTACTTCAAAATCATACTGTTGTAACTCTATTACCCATCTCGCTCTTCTTCCTGTAGGTACTTTAGCATTCATTAATCCTTTTAGTGCAGAATGATCTGTTATAACTGTAAATTTTCTTCCTGCTAAGAACTTATGGAAATGTTTAATTCCCCAGAATATTGCTAAACACTCTAATTCTGTTATTGCATAATTCTTTTCTGCTCCAACTAAACTTCTACTAACATAAGCTATAACAAATTCTTTATTTTCCTCATTTTTCTGAGATAATACTGCTCCTAATCCTTCTCCTGATGCGTCTGTTATTAATATAAACTCCTTTTCAAAATTTGGGTAGTCCAATACTGGTTTCTCCATTAATCTTATTTTCAATTCTTCAAATGCTTCTTGTTGTCTCTCTGTCCATTCAAATGGTATATCCTTCTTAACTAAGTGATATAAAGGTTTTGCTATTCTTGCAAAATTCTTTATAAATCTCCTATAATATGAACACAATCCTAAAAATGATCTCACTTGCGTAACAGTTTCTGGTATCTTTATTTCTTTAATCTTCTCCACTTTCTTTACATCT